GAAAGAAAGAAAGAAAGAAAGAAAGAAAGAAAGAAAGAAAGAAAGAAAGAAAAAGAGAGAAAGAGAGAAAGAGAGAAAGAGAAAAGAAATTGTTAAACAATCTTCTTCCATCGCTCATCAATGTACCAGGGTGGGCAAGGTTGTATATTCTCTAAAAGATATTTTATTGGTTTTATAACATGCCTTTAATTTCACTATCTAGTTTTAGGAAGAACTTATCAGGAATACAATAACCAACAATTGAGAAATTCAAAATAGAAACGTTATTCCACTACAATAGCTTTCTCACTCCTTTAAGGTTTTCTCATCTCCACTGCAAACAGACCAGTTCTTCAATGCTGTTGGGATGACCTGTGTGGGCAAAGCTGGGTTGGGACAAGCTGCTCAGCTCTGCCAGGAAGAGTCCACCCTCAAGGGGCAATTTCTTCTCACCTCCAGGATGCCTTGGGCTTTCTGGGCTGACTCAGGGCTTCATATGCAGCCTGGATCTCCAGGAAGTGCCTCTGAGCCTCCTCTGTCTGGTGTCGGTTGTGATCAGGGTGCCAGATCTTCACTAGCTCCCGGTATCTTCGATGTATTTCTTCATTTGTTGCCCCCTCTGAGACACTCAAAACCTTAGGGAAACAGAAGGTGAAAATTAGAATTCCATACGTTTCAGAGAACCTGGGTCTCTCCCCACTTCCTTGCTAAATCAGGCTGTGCTATCTCTGGAGTCGGCTTTTACTTGCCTGAGAGAAAGGCCCAGAACCTCAGATTAGAATTCCAGCCTTTTTTCTTTTTTTTTTTTTTTTTTGAGTTTATTTATTTATTTTGAGAGAGACAGAGACAGTGCAAGTGGAGGAGGGGCAGAGAGCGAGGGAGAGAGAGAACCCCAAGGTGACTCCATGTCATCAGCACAGAGCCCAATGCAGGGCTTGAACCCATGAAACAGCGAGACCATGACCTGAGCCGAAACCAAGAGTCAGACGCTTAACCGACTGAGCCACCCAGGTGCCCCTAGAATTCCAGCCTTTTGAAACATGGGCTAGCTCTGGATCTGATGGCAAGAACGAAGCTTTGCTTTGAACCACAGCTGCCCATTTTCTAACCTGGGACTTCGCCATCCTCACAAGATCTCTTCCTTGAAAGAGAAATAAGCATATATGTCCACCAAAGACATGTACAAGAATGTTCACAGCAGCTTTATTTAGAATGGCCCCAAATTGGAACTAACCTAAATGTTCATTAACAATAGGAATGGATAGATACCGTGTAGTATATTTATACAATGGGATACTACACAACAATGGAAACAATTTATAAATGTTACAGTACTTATTCATAGTACATGCAACAGTATGAATAAATCTCACGAACATAATGTTGAATGAAAGAAATCAGACATGGGGTGCCTGGCTGTCTCAGGCATGTGACTCTTGATCTCAGGGTTGTGAGTTCAAGTCCACGCTAGGTGTGGAGCCTACTTTAAAAAAATAAAATAAAAATAAGTTAATTTAAAAAGGAAAAAAGTCAGGGGCGCCTGGGTGGCTCAGTCGGTTGAGCATCCGACTTCAGTTCAGGTCATGATCTCGCGGTCCATGAGTTCGAGCCCCGCATCGGGCTCTGTGCTGACAGCTCAGAGCCTGGAGCCTGTTTTGGATTCTGTGTCTCCCTCTGTCTCTGACCCTCCCCCGCTCATGCTCTGTCTCTCTCTGTCTCAAAAATAAATCAATGTTAAAAAAAATAATAATAATAAAAATAAAAAGGAAAAAAGTCAGACATAAAAGTATATACCGAATGATTCCATTTGTATGAAGTTCAAGAATGGACAAAACTAATATACGGTAATAGAAGTCAGAAAAGAGATTCTTCCAAGGAAAGGAGTCTAGAGCTAGAAGGGACACAAGGGAAACTTCTTGGTGCTGGATGTATTCTATACCTTGGTTTGAGTGGTGGTTACAGAGATGTATACATAAAATGCATCATCAGCATACGGCCCAACACAGGGCTTGATCTCACCACTGTGAGATCACGACCTGAGTCACTATCAAGAGTCAGATGCTTAATTGACTGAGCCACCCAGGCACCATATATGTTATATGTTACTTTATATATGTTACACCTCAATAAAAAGTAAACAATATATACCTATCTTTTCCCACTCACTGTTAGTGACCCTGTACCTTCACCCATTGCACACAGAAGCCCAAAGAAAGCTGGACACCCTTCTAGGGCCCAACCCAGCAGACATGAAAACATATACTCCCATATACGGGGCATCAGTTCCAGTAAGGCTTAGCCTAACTCTCAGAGCTGTCCCAGACAGGAATGAGAGGGAACAAAGACTTACCTGGTAAGCCAGCTGACGCTTCTCATCCTGAAAACTGTTAACAAACTCATAGAGCTTCTCCCACTCACGGAAGGAGTTGTTGCTGAAACCAGGATCCCCTACCAGCAGCCTCCAGATCCGGTAAGGCAGAAGGAAGACAGACTCTGTGATGCGGCCAAGGAGGGGGAAGAAGTTGAACCAACTCAAAAAGGAGCCAAGGGTCTCTGCCACACAGCTAAGGGTGGCTGCTGTGTTGCAGAAGGTGCTATAGGCTAGTGGGCCTGTGAAAGCAAGGTAAGCCAAGCCCAGACGGTAGAGCCGGACACTGAGTGTCTCTGGCCCAACTGAAGTCTTATAGCGGCGATGCTTCTGGGCTGTGATGCTGGCAGCCAAGCTGATGGGAAGGATGGCTATGGGGCGGCCGTAGAAGATAGGGGAAATAAGAAATGCTGCCCCTAGTGTATTCTTAAAGTCTGAGGTCTGGTTGCCAACAGCAGCCACAAGCAAGACCCCTAAGCCAACTGCCAGTGGGAGGCCCACAATATAGAAGTTGGCCATGAAAGAAAGGCTAATGAGAGCCACCAGGCCAAAATAGATGCCCACTATCACCTGGGCGACAAAGCGAATGAAACTGAGAGGGGGTGTCCTCCCTACTGAGCTCTGCCTCTGCCTCTGGGGTCTGTTGGCCTGAGCTACAAAGCTCGGGAGCTTCCAGAATTCCCAGAGCCAGCCCAGCCCGCCACCCCCCAGGGTAAGCATCCAGAGCAGTGCATGAGTGTCCCTCCCCAGGTACAGGTGGTGGAGCCCAGCAGGGCCTCCTACAGCCCAAAGGGCATAGGTCACCAAGAGCCCTTTGGCCATCCTTTAGGTAAAGGGTGTCAGATCAAGTCCAGTGGCACCTGACATACTGCCCAGAGTGCAGAAATCTGGGGTCATCTGTGAGAAACATGGCTGTCATGGTCCGAGACCCTAGGAGATGAAAAAAGCAGTCATAAGACTATATCCAGGCCCCTAAGAGTAACCACTTCTCCTTCCAATAATAAGCGCAGATCTTCCTGAGTGTCCCTGAAATGCGGGTTCTCCCATACCCTTTGGCCTGGCTTCTCATTTCTGTTTGTTTGTTTTTTAAGTTTATTTTCGAGAGAGAAAGAGAGAGACGGAGAGCACACAAGCAGGGGAGGGACAGAGAGGGAGGGAGACACAGAATCCAAAGCAGGCTCCAGGCTCTGAGCTGTCAGCACAAAGCCGGATGAGGGGCTCCAACCCACAAATCACCAGACCATGACCTGAGCCGAAATCGGTGGCTTAACCCACTGAACCACCCAGGCGCCCTTCATTTCTGTTTTTTATAAGCACAGCCAACTCCAAATTTAAGGGAGAAAAATGTTTTAAATGCTTTCAGTTGCTTTAGAACTCAGCACATGGACAGAAAAGCAGAAGCTTAAATTTCGGACCACTGGTTCCTGGAATGATTCATGGGAGAATGGAGTGAACAGAAGTGAACAGAATGCCCTTCTAAAGTTTCCACACATTTTGAGGGGCGCCTGGGTGGCCCAGTTGGTTAGGCGTCCGACCAGCTCAGGTCACAATCTCGCGGTCCGTGAGTTCGAGCCCCGCGTCGGGCTCTGGGCTGATGGCTCAGAGCCTGGAGCCTGCTTCCGATTCTGTGTCTCCCTCTCTCTCTGCCATCCCCCATTCATGCTCTGTCTCTCTCTGTCTCAAAAATAAATAAACGTTAAAAAATTTTAAAAAATAAAAAATAAAGTTCCCACACATTTTGAAAGTCCCCTGGCATCCCTAGCCCTCCTCAGACTCGCACTATGGCCGCCCTCAGACACATGGCCAAGGTTCCTCTCCAGCCTTCCTATCTCTCCAGGCCACGAAATCTTCCCACAAGTCTAATTTGAAAGAGGTCCTGAAGTCCCTCCACTTAAACCGTTCTGTTAAACTAACGTTTTGACCTAAACCCTGGCACTCCATAGTTCAACCACCTCCTTCCAGGGCAGACTTGGAGTCTCTCCAAAGAGGCCGGTTGAACCCCCAGAATTCCAAGCCAGATGCCAACGTGTGCCTGCCAGCATCTCCCCCCTAGTAGGCCTCAAGACCACCAGCCAGTTACTCGCTAGTCCCAGGGTGGACTGCCGTACCTGGGTACCCCGGCTCCCAGACCCCGTCAGACCAGTCATTTCCTTTGGCTACAGAGTCAAAATGGCCCCTGTCACTCCGCTCTCACTTCCATCCAAATGGACTTTGTCTTTCTGTGTTTGCTGTGTCACGGAAGTGGGGCCGTCCGGGTCAGTCTCCTCCCTAAGCACCCCCCCCCACCCCACCCACACACACACCCGGTCCCCTTGGGATCACCTTTCAGCCTCGGCTCCTCTCGCCCGCCCTGTCGGGTAAACCCGGTGTGAGGCTCTCAGGGCGAATCCAGCCTACCCAGGCTGGCGCAGCGCCCCACTCCAGACCGAGCGCGCTTGCACCGCTGCACCACCGTCGCCAGGTGGCGCTGCCGCTCACGGAAGGGCGGGGCCGGGCGGGTCTCCAGACCCACCTTGTCCAGTTGCCCGGGCAAAGCAGCCCCGAGTGGTTCGCTATAAACGCAAAAATAGGCCTTTGATCGCCCCTTTCCATCCCTACAAATGAGGGGGTGACTTGTCCCTCTCAGGGTGCACGCTCTTCCTACTCCGTTGTTTTTCAAGACGGCCTTGGATGGCTCCACTTCCAATTCCTCTAAGGCCGACTCACCCACGGACTGACTGCAGAGAGGACCCCCAGCCCGAGTTTGCCTCATTTGCCCCGCCCCCAGGCCTGCTAGTCAGGGGAATTACGTCTAGACCTGAGCCTGAACCTGAGGGGCCTCCAGATCTAGTGGGAGCCCGAGCCTGTTGTATCCTGAAGGCTATGGGCGAGAGGCAGAAACACTAGCAAAAAGGGATATGCGTCCCACCCAGAGAGCAGAGCGAGAGCGAAGCCGCAGCACCAGAGTCGTCTGCCTTCCTCCCACCTCGACGCTGGGAAAGAGCTGGGATGCAAGATGCCTTCGCTTCAATGCCCTGGGCTCCAATCCTGGCTCTGCTACGTGACCTTGGCCAAGTCACGTAGTTTCTTGGGCCTGTTTCCTCCTCTGTAGAGGAAAGGCTTGGCTCTCCAAAGTCCCCAGTCTTGACCTGGGGGTGGGGTGGGCCTCGTGGCCCTCACACTGCCAGCCCCTCAGCCTTTATCCCGGCCCGGGGAGGGAACATGGCTCTCCTAAGGCGCCTTAAGGCTCACCGAGGGGCCAGGGCTGGGAGGGGCCCCAAAGCGACGCGGGAGCTGCCAGCTGGGGGGCGGGGGCGGACAGGGCGCTGAATAATGAATGAGACTTAATTGGGCCCGCACTGAGAGGCGGCGCGCTAAGCTCGGCAAACAGCTCGGGCGGCGGCGGCCGCCGCTGGACAAACAAACTCGCTCCCGGCGCTGGAAGCGGGGTGGGGGAAGCAGCGGCGGAACGCAGAGGGAAGGGGCTGGCCGCCTGGCCGCCTGGCCGCGCGCAGCCTGCTCTGAGGCCGGAGGAACCCAGGGCTGCTGGGCTGAGCTGACCTCCCAGAGAGTGGCGGTCGGGGAGGGTGCTCAGGGTTCCAGCTCAGGAAGCGAGGGCTGGGCGGGGAGAGAGCGGATTGTGCGGTGGGAGCCAGGGGCCCAAGGGCGACAGGAGTGCGCGGAAAAGATGGAGAAACGAGTGGGGGGCGGAGAAGAGAGGGAGAAGTGAGCGGAGAAAAAGCACATCGAGGGAGGGGCGGTCGGGGGTGGGGGCGGGAGAGGAGCCGTTACCGAGAGGAAAGGGAAGAGCGATGGAGGAACAAGCGAAGGGAGGCGCGAGGGGCCGGGAGAAGAATTGGAGAAGAGTCAAGGAGAGGATGGGAGGTGACCGGAATGAGAACGAGAGGGCGGCGGGGCGGGCAGGAGGCGCCCCTGCCTCCGCCTCGCCCCGCCGCGCTCCCGCCCTAGCGCTCTCTCCAGCCGCCCGCACTCACTTTGTCACAATTACGGGGCCGTCACTCGGCCCGGATTGTTTTCCCCAAATTGTTGTTCTATAAACTGGCGGGGGGTGGGGAGTGGGGGGATCTGACAAGCTGAAGCGGGAGGGGAGGGTCTCAACTGCGGTGGGGGACGTGGCGGAGTATTTACCCACGAAAGGACCGGGGCGGGCGGGTGAATCCGGGGACCCACGCGGGAAGTCTGGTTGGCGTCCCAGCCTCGTTGCTGATCCCGCTTTTAACCTTCCTGGCCCTTCTCAACCTCGGCTGCCTCAGTTTCTCCAAAAGAGAACTGTGAGGATTGGAGGGTAGGGGCCGCGGAGGCCGTTGCAGGTGGGGCCCAAACTTCCCTGCTTATCCATTCTGTTTTGTTCTTTATACCCTGGTCATAGAGGGAGGGTGTCTATCTCAGCTCAGCCGTCCCCAGAGCTCCTCTCACCCCCGCTGGGTGGCCAGACTCCCACTCCCCATAAGTCTAGGCCACCCATTGCCCCACGCGCGCCCTCCAGCCCCAGGCTCCGCGCCGCCGGGTGCCCCACACCACCTTGTCCCTCAATAGCGCAAACATCTGTTGCGCGCCCACTGTGAGCCAGAGCCGCCCCAGCCTTCCTCCCCCCACTCCTCTCCCCCGCCACCCGCCCCTGCCGGCCCGCCCGGCATGTCGGCTTCGTGACAGCCGCCGCCGAAGCCCAGGCCCCGCGGGAGCGGCCTGAGAGGAGCCGCCGCATGGCTGGCTCCGACACCGGCCTCCCCGGCGGCTCCAGGGGCAACGGAGGGTGGCGGCCGCTGAAGCGAGACGGAGCCGGCCCGCAGAGTTGGCAGAGCTGGGCCGGGAGGGGGGAGAGCCCCTGGGCGGGCTTGTCTCCCGGTCTCTGAGGCCAGTGGGTCTCCTCATTCCATTGCCCTAGGGTCGGCCCGGGCCGGGACCCCGCCTGGCTCCGCTTGCCGGGGACGCGGTTGGCGCGCGTGCCCCCTCCCCCAGTCCGGGTGATTTACACGCGGACTCCGCGCAGCGGCCGCTTCCCAATCAGGAATATCGACCCCGGGCGGGGCCCCCGGGCCGCATCGATCCCTCTAAGGCTCGGGATTTAAAAATGTCAAATTTGCCTTTTCCAGGCGGGCGGAGGGGGCGGGGGAGGGGCTGGAGGAGGGCGGCGGGGCGGGGGGGGGGGGACCGCGGGGCATCGACCAGGTGCTTGTGCCCTGAATGAGAAGCGACCTGGTCGCGGCCAGGCCCTGACACTGTGTGGCTATCCTTGGGTTTCAGTCGCTTCTAGATGGGGGCAGGAAGGAAGCCCTACTCTCTTTCCCATTCCCATGGACCTCAACTTGCACTGGCGTATTCCCAAAGAGAGAACCCCTAGAGGAACAAAGACATAACCCAAAATGTAGGAAGACAAATTTGGAGGAGATCCCTAAACATGGACGCAAGGAGAGGTACAGAGACAAAGATATAAAGGCTCCAAGAGACACCCTGGCTATGAGGAAGAGCAAGGCGGAGGGAAGGTGGCTGAGAGCCAGCGAACAAAGCAGGCAACCAGAGATCCAGAGTCACCCCCAACTCTGCCCTATAGACCTAGGAGATTCAGGGCTGGGAAGAAGTTCGGCTTCACCTTTTAGTGTGTTTGAGAGTGGGGGAGGACAAAGCCAGGTGAAGAAAGAGAGTTATTGGGGTAAGGAAACAGACTATAATTAGTATTACTCTCCCAAGGTATCAACTAGTAACTGGACCTAAGGTCCAAAAGGTAAGGGTCCCAAGGGCCACTAGCCCAGGCCCCAAAGAGATGGGCTCTCTTGGAGGTCTGATGATCTGACCTGTGCCTGAGACCCACCTTCTCCTCTCTGACCGCCTGGGGACCCAGATGGGCTGGAGAGCACATCCTGTGTGTGATGAAGATTGTGTATATGTAGGAGTGTGGACTATAGAAAACTCTAGTAGTGACCACTTCCTTCCCCAGTACTCAGCAAATGGGTCTCCAAGCTTTGCAAAAAGCATCCACTACTTTCAGAAAGCTTGGGGAACAGGTGAGATTTTGGGTGGAAATGGTGGAAAGGAGCAGTTGTCCAGACCAGCATCCTCACAGTTAACATCTATCCCCCCCACCCCCAGCAGCATACCTCAGCTGTCACTGTGCACACTGCCATTTCCTATAGAACTGGAGAGAGAGAGAGCTGACAGCAAGTAGTGGGGGGGGGGGTGGAGCACAGACATGAAGGAAGAGGCTGCAGCCGATCCTCAGACAACACACACCACCACTGACAAAATCAGGTCGACACATTCCTAACGCTGACCCACGCTGTCACTGACTTACACGTGTGATCCACGCTCATCCATCCCTGTCACACACGCCATCTCTGTGTGCACAGACATGCACAATGCCTCCCAGGTCAAGCTGAAGCGCCCAGTCTTAAGCCTGTCCACACACTCTATTGATATTAGACCTTAAATCGCCTAACCCAAAGAGAGGGCTTAGGTCCCGGCCCCCCGGCCGCCAAATTCTACAACCAGAGCCAGCTCCAACAGCTGTGAGCCAGAGCTCAAGAAGTCAAGTACCAAGATAGAGGCAAAGAACCGGGAGCTGACCCAGCGGTGGGGCTATTAAACGCCTCCCTTACTCTCCCTCCTGCCACTGGCCTCTTTCCCCGCACGTCCACTAGCTGCTCGCCGGCCCGCCGTCCGCCTGTCAGTCGAGTAATGAATGCGCGCTCCGGGCCCCGGGCCCCCCCGGAGTCGTTCATCACTGCCAGCCACCGCCCACCTCTCTGCCGCCCGCGGTGAGGGCTAAGCGGCCCAGGCGACGAGAGCCCCTCTCCCCCCACCTCGACCACTAATTGTCAGATTGAGATGTTGATTTGTCAGCTGGGAGCTAGAGCCAAAGAATCCGCAGTAAAACCCGGACTCCTTGAACTTCCTCTTGGCTCCGTGCGGGTTCTCCCAGCCTTGGAGCTTTTCTGGATTTCATGTGGATGGGTTGGATTTTGCGTGAGAGATCGGGGAATAGAAGCACAGTATCACTCTATTCCAATAGGAGGCGCACCAGGTTACAGACCCTCAGTTTCCCTAGGAAAGCTCCTCTTGGGCGCAGTTCCACCTGTATAGACCAGAGGCCGTTAGGACTTCGTCCCCCAGTCTCCCAGCAGGGGGCGCCTGGGCCACCACCCTCTTCTGCAGCTAGATCCCCGCTTCCGCACTGGAAGCCCCCAAGGCAGCGGTCCTCCAGTCCGCCTTCAGGTCACG